TTACTTGTGCTCTTTTGAAGAGCTCTTTCATTTTGCTCTATAAAATAGTTTATTAAGCTCTTATAGGTCCAAAGGGCTCCAACGGGCGGAACTTGGAACTGTTTATCTATAGTTAATTGTAAATTGTATGTTGTACTATAAGAATAATAACTATAACAAAACCCTCATATCTTAAGTATCCAAGTCCAAAAAAGTCTACGTGAAGAGCCTCTAAATAGTATTTCCTCTTTGAATAGAGAAATATCATACAAAACACTCAAATCGGTAACTTCCAAGTCCCAGGAATCTACTTTAAGTATTTCCTCTTTCATTACACAGGCCTGAGAAATTTAACTCTATTTTACAACGCTTTTTTCTTCTTCCAATAAATATGTTATTTTTTAATAGCTGGGTATGTTAATTTAAAATACAGCGTTGTTTTTTCTAGCACATCGATATTTATTTTTATTGATCATATTTTAGAATTGTTAAAAATTTTCACGAAAAGCCAAAAGCTTTTCTATCGAAAAATGTTACCTTCTCATTGCCCTCTTACTACAAATACTAAGGAGAGGGCCATGAAAAGGCAACATTTCTTGTAGAAAAGAAAGCGCCATAAGTAAATCAGAAAGACTTATGAAAATTCGAAGTTAACGATAGTAATATGCTGTATCATCGAAAAAAATTAAAAACGAATATTCTCGGAAAATTGGCGTGTTGGAATTTTTTATTTAATTATTTTTTCGTAGGTTAGTATATAATACCAACCAAAATTTATAATAAGTTTTTTAAGGGAGATACCATCGCAGGTCTATTAAAGACGAATCCAACTTCGAAAAGAGGAAGAGCAGTTAATCTAAATAGAAAAATGTATATGGATAGGTATATAACTTCAATAACAAAGCATTTTTCGTATCAAGCGAAATACGAAATGGTATGACTGAATAGTATTTACGATCTTTATGAAAGCCATGGGCGTGTCCAGGTAGGGGCAGGGGGGGGGGGGGGGGTTAAAAATAAAAATGTTAACAAGCCACAATAACATTGACAAATACATAATTTGTTGAAATTTTTCAATACAATATTGCTGTATTGTACCAAGCTTTTGACTTAAAAAAAATTTTCCCTTTTTTTTGTGCCATAGCCCAATATAAAAATGCACAAATCTGTACAAATGTACCAATAGAGTGACACTGCCTTAACAATTTGTGGAATTAAAAAAAAATCAATGAATTTTCGTAAAAATTTCGAGTTTTTAATTCGATTCTGAGTATGCAGTTTGTAGCCTATCCAATTATAGTAGAATAAAGTACAAGTTTCAAATGGCTAAAAAGTAAAGTTTTTATTAACATCTTTTTATCAGAAACGCTACATTTCGGGAGGGATCAGAACACCAAACCCCCCAAAATGCGGCCTTGTTTATACGCATATAATTTGTTAGCGTATTTTTTTGTTTTTGGGCTGCCGCTACAACCTTGCATGAATTTGCCTTAGTTTCAACTCTTCATAAAGCTCCAATCCATTTATGTCCAAATTATCTCCATTTGTGTGAGCTGTGATCAACTCCCGACATTTTGACAATAAAAAAGTGGCCCCCTCGTAAATTTTTATGATTTCTCAACTGCTCAAATGTTTCATTGACAGCAGCAAGGCTGTGTCAACTAGAACAACGAAAAAATCAGCTCTAAATTGACCTTCTGTAATGAAAATTGCAGACTCATCTTGACTTTAGTGATCGAATAGCTACATATGTCTTTTGCGGGATAAGCATCTTGTAGCAAATTCAAAACCCGTATTTCTGTACTCGAATAGAAATGCAGCCAGGGTAGCCACTGGAAAAAAATAAAACTTACCATCCAATTGAAAAAAATCTACCATATCTGGAAAAAATCTACCAATATCATTTTAGTTATTTCAATAAAAAACTTACAGTTTTCTAATAAGGAACATTTTATTTAATTACGCTGTTTGAGATCATATAAGTTTTGTTTCATAAAGAATGCAGATATTCGGGTTTCGATCAATACAAACTTAAAGCTTAACAATTTATACATGTATGTAAAAAACAAGGAAGTGTCTGTAAAATTAACATTTTGAAAATTTACAAGAAATACGTATAAAAATACATGTACCTACATATGTGTGATTATTCACATTACCCAAGGCACATACAATTTTTGGAAATATGCTTTTTTTTCAAAATATTCCGCTTGTTTATATCTTGAAAATGCAATTGTGAACGTTGTTTCCAGAAACCCGCGATAAAGCATTCAATATAAAAGCTTGAAAAATTGTTTGATTCACTTAAAAACAAATTCATCATTAAGGGCCTTTGGTAACTTTAACTAAAGTATGTACGTATGCACTTATGTATGTATTTACTTGAATGCTTCATTTGCACACCACACATAGTGTGGTTCGATTTTTTCAGCAATCAATTCTTTTGATAGCATTATTGTATCAACAGTACTTATATTTGGTTGGTTTCTAATCCTAGTTTTTATGAGGTTTAAGTCGGAAAACTTCCTTTCTGCAGCAGCAGAACTATGTGGTAGTGACAAAATATTAAATACGAAACTCGTGAGATTTTTAAAACATTGTTCTCCCAACCCATTTTTTTGCAATGAGACTTTTTCCCAAAAATCTATAATATCCATATCAGGCTGAAGGCCGATGTTGCTTAGCCTCAACATTTTCCATTCTGTATTAACATCTTCCGAGTTTCCTTCAACCAAATACGGAAATGTTGAAAGTAAAGGCAACAACGAAAGTTCATCATTTGAAATAACTTCAGTTGGAGTTATTATAGACAGATATTGCAAATCTTTTCTGGAAAAATCAAATCGCTTTTTACATTGAACAATAAGCTCAACATAAAACTTTAAAATATATTCTTTAACTTCAATCACTTCGGATTGACAAAGACCGGACTTTTTCAGAAAGGTTTCTGTATTATTACCAATAAAGATTTGATCTATATTCAAAAACATGTCCTGCTGCGCCTTGCTTATGTTTTCAAACGTAATTTTTTCGTCGTTATAGTTATTTAGTTTTTCAAAATCAGTTAAAATTGCATCTACATCTAAGTTTTTTACAACACTGTTTTTCATAAAATCAGATAAAATAAGTTTAATGGTCATATTCACTCTTGAATAAAGGTAAGGTAGACGAATTTTTTCTGATTGGAAATCTTTGTTTAAATCATTAATTATTTTAAGAACATATGAAAAGAATAAGAAGTAAACCCTTAAAGAGGGATTCCCCATTTTTTTCGCCAATTTAGCCGCATTAATTCCATTCACTTCAATTACGTTGGAAATAAAATATAATTGCAAGGCATCCCATTGCTCAATAATTCGGTTAATCACTCCTTCTAATGCAAGCCATCGCATGGTTGAAACGCCTAATATTTTGCGCGGCTCAACCTGACAATATTCTTGAAATTCTTTGAAATCGTATATTCGTTTGGCACTATTCGCAAAGAAAGTATAAATGTTCCGACATAATTTGTCTATTTCAATTGGTAGCTTTTTGCATGCATAGGCAGAACACAGATGCAAAGAATGACACGAGCATTTTATGTAAAACATATCCCCATCTTTCATTAATTTCGCCTTTAGGCCACCCAGTTCCCCTGCCATAACATTAGCTCCGTCAGTTGCTAGCCCTATTACATTCTTTAATGGGATGTTAGTTGTGAAAAAAAATCATTGATGTAATTATACAACGAATCGGCATCCGTTTTAGAAACTTCGATGAGACTTAGAAACCTGTCTCGTACTTTATGAGCTAACTTGTCATAATATCTCACAACAATAGGTTTGTTCGTCGAGCAAAAAATTTGTACGAATTTGTACGAATTATCACGATTTTTGCCCAAATCGCGTTCGTGCAAACCAAAAAATTATCCAACACTCAAAAATTGTGAGAGCAAAGTGACAGTTCTCTTGGAGAGAAGTTGCAAATTCTTGCTGGAAAAAATTTTGCCAGCAAGAATTTGCAAACACGAAAAACATGTGGTTGTGGCGCATGGTTGCATTTTTGTCTACAATAATTTGAATAAATTAGTTCGTTAAATTTAAAAATTTATAAACACGAGCGATTTTTTTATGAAAAAAGGAAGTAAATAATTGTTGATATAATTAATTTAGTTAATTCCAATGATTTGAACTTAATTCGGCTGAAAAAAATGGTATTCGCAATCGGAATGCAATTGCAACCAGAGTCGATTTAAGAAACCCGACAGCTAGTACGATGAAGAAATTGAAATGTATGTTAAAGAAAGTCAGAACAACAAGAAATATACATGTATATCCTGTTTTTGGCCATCCGAAAGAATTTTAAAAATTCTATAAAAATTTTTTATGTTTGAAATGCAACCGTGGACGCCAGCTGGCAGCGAAACTTGCAAATTCCTGCAAATTTGGGTTCGTGCAGAAATTTGCAAGTTTCTCAACATGAGAGAGAATTTGAGAGAATTTTTTCTTACTCTCTGATATTTTGAGTGTTGGATAATTCTTGCTGGATTTTCGACGAACAAACCTAATAACTAGCGATTTTTTACTGCTGACGTCCGTCGTTTCGTCGATGATACAAGAAAATTTTGTTGTTTGAAGAACGGACACAATGTTTTCTTTTGCCTTAGCTCCCAAGACATCAGTCAACATCTTTGATTTTGTTCTGTAGCATTTAAGAGCCGCTGCTATTTTAGAATCCGGACAGCACTGACTTAGCAATTGAGGCAAAAAGTCCATTAATAAAAGAGATAAATTGTGCTGTATACAAAACATAGTCAGATTTAGTTCGGCATGGTAAACTTTCTTTTTAAAGCTGGCCTGATCCGTTTTTAAACATTGTTTAATTTGTATTTAATTTTTTTTCTTCGCAACATTTCGCAAATGCTTTTTTAAAGAAGCGTGATTTTTGAGGTGACTGTAGTGGCTTACCAAATTAGTATCGCAGGCGATACAATAGCACTCTCCATTTTTGTTCCTAAGCCAAGAAAATGTGGCCAGCCACTCCGTCCGTTCGTCGCTCGAGCTTAAAATAATACAAAATTTTAGTAAATCATGCAAAATACACAAAATGCCTATGTGTGAACCTGCTCTCACTGCCACTGTCCGTCTCTGTATTTGCACCTGTCGGGACGTCTTTTCGTACAACAAATCTGCGGTATTTATTAACTAAATATTTCATATATACAATCACATTTTCTAATTACATACCTGTCCATTTTTCTTTTTACTAATTCAATTCTTCCACCACGATTTCAGTTAAATGCATTTTGAAACCAGCTAGGTATGTTCGCCTTTTGTTGATATACATAAAAAGGTGAATATTAATCCGTTCGAAAACTAATGTAATAAAGTAAATAGTAAACCTCGTCTTGAAAGCGTTTGGAAAGAATCTGATAATATAAAGATAACTAAGAAAAATAAAGCTAGAACTGAAATTTTCAACTTTCATTTGTTTTCTGCATAAAATATTTTATCAAAAATCTACCAAAATGGAAAAAAATTTACCAAACGAAATTTTTTCTACCAATTTTGGTAATAATTTGCCAAAGTGGTAACACTGAATGCAGCGCAATTTCCTATCGAATCAATGCTCTGCATTGATTTACTTATGGGTATGGGCAGTGGCGGATTTAAATATTTGCCGCCCCTAGGCAATCCATAACTTGCCGCCCTTTTTTCACGAAAAAAAAAAAATATATATATATATCAAATATGATTGTTAATGTCAGTGCTTTATCACAATATAGTTCGTTAATAATGAAATACATAACGGAATTAACAAAATTTTAGATGATTCTCGTTCTCGGGGCAGCGTGTCGGCTGTTTCTTTGCGTCACGCGCAGGCGCGCCGTCAGGTTTCTAAGCCGCGTGAATGAAAGTTAAATGGAAATTTCAACGACTGCTATACTAAGGAAAAATTCGCAGCGTAATTCTAATTTTGAATTGTATTGAATGAGATGAATCATTAATAATATTTTACAGACACAAACACAATTTCAAGTGCAGCTGAATCCAAATAAATTTTTTTCTTTTAATTTAGCTGTCTTAAATTTTGCCGCCCCTTAATTCTGCCGCCCTAGGCTTCAGCCTATGTTGCCTGTACGATAAATCCGCCACTGGGTATGGGTGTCATACCAAACAGCCAGGGAGATGAGTTTCAAATCAGATGGGGGAAAAATATCCATTGGAGCTTCCTAAATATGTTTCGCCTGATATTTAATAACTTTAACCATGTCCTTTGTCTGTCTGGTCTATTTTCCCAACGAGTTGTGCATAATTGTTTAAAGGGTTTAGTTCGAGGTCCCCGGCTTGATCTCCTTTGTTTTTTTTAAATAACTGATATTTATGTTGTTGTTTTCAAGAGTTTCGAGTAGAATATTCGTCAATCGCCACCCATCGATGAAGAAAATTCACATTCGAAAATTGTTTGCAATAAAAAAATTAATCGAGACCTCTCGCCCCGCCCTAAAGCCGGCCCTGGAGAGCACAGTTTCAAAGCATCGTGATCCGATAAGGGAAGTATGTATGTACAATTAAAATAAACTTATCCAAGCTGCAACCCTTTGATTCGCAGTCGTATTTTTTTATACAATATCCCAACCCTTTTTGTTCCTAATTTTGGGAAAAGGGAGTTTCTTCGAAAATTCTGCAATTTGGTCAGGTTTTTAGGAGCAGCTTTCACATATTTCAACTTGCATGGTATTGTACCTTATACGGTCAGACTGAACAAAGCCTTATCCGACGCAATGGGGAGGAGGTGAGACGCTCCCTGGCCAGTTTCATACATGCTTACATACATAGATGTTTGGTTATCAAAGCATCTTTATGCTTACCTGCCTAATTGACGTCACACCCTTTAGCAGTAAGTCCACTGGTTCTTTATGGCAACCACTACTTCTTGAAAAACACTAAAATAGTCCAGAAGACACTAATATGTTGAGAAGACCCTCCAACCAACCCTGCCTCCAAGTTTCAGTCCATCCGTGTAAAAATTCACTGTTCGCTCCAGTCACCCCGCCCAATCATACTTTGAAGGATTTCGTAAATTTTTATAGGATAATACATTACGATACATACATACGCGACTATGCTACATCAATACCAACACCAACCTTATATCCCTCCATTACGAATTTTCAACGAAAACATCAATTAAGTACTGGCAAAGCATTAAAACATAAACAAAGAAAAAGCAGAATAAAAATGGTGATAGCAATTTACCTGCATTCGCGATTTTGGCAGTTTATGCCACAATATCGTATCGCGTATCGACAGCCCCACAATAACGACCAATAATGCCACATTTAAGGATACCAAACGTTCATACATACATGCAAACCAAATTTATCAGCCATACAATCACAAAACATCTGTCTGTACGAGTGTCTCGCTCGCATCATCATCGTCCGTCCATTACATTGGCATATGTATGTATGTATGTATGTATGTCCATATGGTCGTACGCGCTTACTTTTTTTTCTTCTTGGTGAAGATTTGCTTTGAAAGTTGTTGTTGCTGTTGCTGTGGTGCATGTTGGCCACGACATGTTGCCTGCCACAAACTCGTTTTGTGTTGCATGGCAATATTCATTGCGGCACAACATTGCCGAGCTAGCTTAGCTGCCTTCTAAGGCATTTAAAAAGGTGGAGTTACCAAATAAGCACTGCTGCGCTCACGAACGCTGATTGGCGGATATGACATTCTCAGCATTTTTTGTTGTACATTTTTTTTATTTCATTAGATGGCTAAGTTGTTCGTTTTTTGTTGTTGTTGCTTGTTCTTTCAGCCTTTTAAGGGCTTTTTAACGAAGTTGGGCGATGGCTGCCACACACGGACATAAATTTTATTGCATGTCGCGCTCAAGAAATGGCAGCCGTATTGATTGGTGGTGGCGTTGTAGCGTCCTAAGCGTGTTACGCATTTAATTTCTTTATTTTATTAACTTTTTGTTAAATTTTACAGCTTTGGTAGGGGACAAATAAAGATTCTTTAAATAAATGCCTTTTATTTATTACAGCTGTGTTAATTGACAGCTGCGCTCAGCATTTAAAACATAGATAAAAATGTATTTTTTATAGAAAATTGACACAGGACTGCGAACATTTAATTAATTTTTAATTTTAATAAAAAAAAATATATTTTTTTATAAGCATCCCCCAAAATTCAATAGAAATAGGGTATCTTATCTTAAGCTAGCGTTTGTGTCTCGGAAGAAAGTAGAGAACAAAGGTGGCGTCCACGATGGGGAGAAATAGAGATTGCGCCCATCGCGGTACCGCTAATCCGCTCTTTGTGAATTTGACAGAATCAGCTGTGTGTGTGACGTCATTTTGGTGCAATTGTTGATTGAGGAAAACCAAATAACGATTTAACTGGGTGCGGTTTAGCCCAATGATTTCGGGCTATTGTGTCCGAATGGGTGACCAGATCGAAAAAATTTTACACAGGCTTGTGGTCAAGGGTCTACACTTTATTGTAAAACTTGATTTTGTAATTTGCGGTAACTAATTTATCAATAAATTCGGTCTAAAAAATGTAATTTTTTGTGCATTTCGGAGTGAGATGGCGTAGCCGGAGTTATATGCACAATAAATGTGGATTACCTTTCACAATTCTCTCACAATGTTCCGCACAAAAATACAGTTTATCGAGTTTACAGGGGTATGTGGAAGGCTTCGAGGGATGGGGTGAGACTCTTTACAAAGTGTGAACTGTACTCTTTCTAGTTGGTTAGATATCAAGACCCACGCCCCTCCTCCTCCGCCCTCTCACCCAAAAACAGTGAACAAATAACTAAACATTTCTAATTTAACTATTTGTGTCTTAATATTTGTGCGTAGTTTTACACAATTATTGAAACATTACAAGGCAAAATGAAGTCTGCAGTGGAAAATTGTAAAAGTAAAAACAAAAGGCAAGCGAGCGATATAAGTAAGTTTTTTCTGTAAATATCTACATTTTTAAATTTTGCTTATTTATTTATTTATTTATTAAATCTACAGTACAAAGTACCTTACAGACTAACGATAAATCAATGAAACGAAGATTTTCCACATTTTCCGTGTTTTTTTTGAAAAATTCTTCTAGAAATTCGTCAACAGAAAAATGTATATCTTTGTGAATATTCATGGATGTTAGATCCTTGAGCCTTTCTTTACCTGTTGTGTTTCTCAAGTAGGTTTTAATCCTTTTCAGGCATACTTTTGAAACAGGCAAAATATGGAAATATGTATGTAAATTAAAAAAAAACGAGGCCTTACATGTGACACGTAATTTTTGAAAATCGAACGAACGTTACAGATTTTATGACTGGGGGTCAAATATTTAACGCAACAATCTCCGACCTCGTGTAATACTACGTTCAAATTGACGAGCTAATCATGTTAAATGGGCTTAAACCAGTTAAATGAACAAAACATGTTCATAAACCAGTTAAATCGCATGCAATTGTTGTTGGAAAATTGAACCAGTTAAATCATTTAACTCGTTTGAAAGATCCAAAAGCTTTCCTTTGACACGCCAACGTTCAAAAAATATATATTCTGAAAAATATTAAAAATTAAAAATTATCAAAAAAAATTAGTTATTTCCCATGAGGTCTCATCGTACGCAGAGATAAATGGTGCATACGAACTAAACATCTTGAAGTCTCTAAGTAATCCGTATGCGTTTATATCACGAAGCAGACATTCGCACAAAACAAATTGAAACACAAAAACTTGATTTTAAATATTTTTTTTTTCGAATTTTAATTGGTAATCAAACAACCGTCAAAGTTAATTCCAAATGTTCAATGTGGACGATTGTGTTTTCCAAAAAGCTCTTTTTCATTTAACAGGTTAAATGGGGCCAATTTGAACGTAATATAAGAAGTTTCACTTCAAAAACTCGTTGCTTGAAAAACATTCTAAATATTATAATACTTTTGACCGCCAGTGTATACATGCGTATACTTATACAAGAATTACTCGTTGAAAGTAATAAGAATGAGGGGCAACATTTTCCGCAAACCCTCACCCTCCCAAAAAAAATCTGGATCCGCCGCTGTCAGTGATGCTAAAATAGCGTCCGCGGGCCGAACTCTTTGTAGCTTTCACTCTCTGAGCAACACTGTACTAAATATGTGTCTAGGTATGAAAATCCACCACTATTAATTAAATGGATGTTGCTGCTCGGATTGTTTAACCTGGCTAAAATAAAAATAAAATGAGCGCGTGTAGTCCTCACTGAATGGATCCAACGCGGTGGACATGGGCGCCTCGCTCAGGGAGATTAAGTCAAAAATTACCGAAATTCATCACTCGAAGGC